CCCTACAGAACTGGTGCTTTCAGAGAGCCACTAACGTTACATATTCGGCGTCCCTGAACGGCTATGAATCACTACAATTGTCTTGATGCACTGTTTGCACTTTGTTTTGTTTTTTACACTTGTTTTACAATCGAGAGACTTTCTGTAAGTAAGAATTCCATTGTACCAGTACCGGTTACATATGGCAATAAAGTTCAAGTTCAAGTTCGACTTGGTGAGGACCCGATGAAAGTCAGATACTGTATGCCTTCATAGTGTGACAAATCATGGCTTTTCGGAGGATGTATACCACCAGTTTAGTATAGAATATCTCATTTAGGAGCAAGTGAAAATAAGTTCTCTAATAGAGAATGAGGAAAAGATTATGCACCTGACCCATGGAGCTGTTGGCATGATTCTGACATGAATATTTTAGACAGCAGTGTGACTGTCAGCTACCAGTACCGGTGGTGCTGATGTGAGAAAACGCATTTTAGACAAATGCTAAAGGACTGTAATTGCTGGTGTTTTTTTAGTGGTGTCCAGTGGCATTGCACTAAGAAAAGTAATTGTCTATCCTGTGTCACAATATGTAAAACAATAGAATCTTAAAAGGATGTATTTTCATTTTCACATCATTGTAAGTCAGCACAGTATATTATCCTTTGTTTCCTATTTTAGAGATGTGTTTGCCTCACAATAGAGATTGATGATACAGTTCCACCCCAATCCAGGGTTTGCTTTCTGTAACTGGGTCCACCTCATACAGGCATGCAGCTTATTGAGCTCTTACTCAGTTTCTATTGTGTGTCAGAGGGCCAAAAGAAGAAGGCCATCAAGGAGAATTGTTTTCAGGTACTCCTGGCAACAGCACATCCTCCGAGGCCTAGGGAAAGCCAGAGGAAGCAAAGGCCTCAGATGGGAAAAGAGGAGAAGAGCCTTCTCAAGACGGTGACAGGGAGCATCCTTGCCACTGATGAAGACCACTGCGAGATCACCCTTGACCTAACCAGCATATTCAACTACAGTAGCAAGACCTGGAGGGAGCCTGGTGTACTCCCCACAGGCTCCAAATGATAGGAGTTATATTTAGGCATGACAGTGCTTTGGATTAGGGTAAGTACAAAAAGAAGAGAGTTAAACATTCACTCGATCCACCATGACACCGATGTTTATCTTTCTTACCACCGATTTCAGGAGGCTAGACCGAGTGAAAATAAAGGCAGTCTTTCACCACTTGGCCTCCATGCCATTCTTGGTACGTTTCTTACAGGAAGTTCACCTGAGGGATGAAAGGGACAAGTTGATGGTGCTTGGCAGAGAATTTAACGTCAACTGGAAGAAGGGCAGCAACGTCAGTCTGGCATAGCTGGAGTCTCTACTCAAGCAATTCTCCCTTTTGGATGGCTTCAGATGGTGTTACCCCAGTGACATGGGAATGCCTTGGAAAAACTCCCGGAGAGTGTGCAGTTGCCTGGATTACATCTTTGTGCACAAGACCTGCTCCATGGAATCCACGGCGGTGTCCCCAGTGTGGTATTCCAAGGACAACTGCGTGATAGTGGGGGCTAACACCAACCTGCCGACATTCAGTTGTGAGTACTGGAAGTTAAACTGGGAGATACTTGAGGAAGACTGCTTCAAGGCATGATTCAGGGAACACTACAAGAGCTGGGCCTATATGAAATGAGGCTACAGCTCAGTAGTGGAACAGTGGGAAGCAGTGAAGGAGAGAACCCAAACCCTGGCAAAGACCTACTGCAGACGAAAGGTGACCAGGGAGAGGAAGGAAGCAGCGCAGCTCCAGAAACAGCTGGAGGAGAAGTACAGCTCAGCAAACAGGGGTGGAGACTTCAATTCAGACAGAGCTAGGGACCTGAAGGAGAGGATCGGCAACCTGTACACTGAGAAAGCCAAGGCTTTTCTTTTTAAGGTACAAAAGGAACATTAATGAAATCATGAAACCTGTTCCTCTTATTTCTTTAATCAGGTCTGGGGAGCCCAGAAGAAGATGGTTATCCACAGCCTGAGATGGGGAGATGGAGAGGAAGTGCTGGATGAGGGCTACAAAGTAGAAGTGGTGACTGCATTCTACAGAGAGCTTTTTCAGAAAAGCAGATAGAGGTGGAAGCAGGTGCTGCTTTTTTGAAGGGGCTGAAGGCAAGAGTACTGAAGGAGGTGAGGTAGGACTTCTACAGCTGTTTATTGGACATCCTGGTGGCAGATCTGGTGGAGGTAGGACAAGAGATGTTCCGTCAGGGGAAACTGGGAGACACCATGGGGGAAGGTGTCAGCTCCCCGCTCTTCAAAGGTGGGGGACGGGGTTCCACAGACTTCAGGAACTGGAGGCCTATTACCATGCTCTGCATGGACATCAAGATGCTGTCCAAGCTTCTGTCCAGCAGACTGAGGACCACCCTTCTCCACATCATCCACAGTGACCAGATGTGTGGGGTGGAGGGACGATCTGTCAGCTGGAACCTCCAGCTCACCTGAGGCACCATTGCCTGGGCTGAGGACCGGAACATGCCCTCGATGGTGGTGAGCCTGGTCCAGGAGAAAGCCATTGACAGAGTAAACCACAGCTAGCTTGTCAGAGTGCTGGAATGCTTTGGTTTTGGAGAGAGTTTCGGGCACTAGGTAAAGATACTGTACTCTGAACTGAGCAACAGAATCAACATAAACGAACAACTGGGGCATTTCATTCCCCATGTGTCCGGATATGACAAGGGTGGCCTCTTTAACCTCTTCTCTATGTTCTCTTCACAGAGCATTAGCAGACGCAGTGAGACAGGACCTTGTCTTCGATGACCTGGCAATACCAGGATGTGCGGGGGAAACCCTGAAGATATCCTAGTATGCAGACGACACAATGCTGTTCCTGGGCTAAGACAGGGGGTTGATGGGGGGCCCTGCAGGTCATGGAGCAATACTCCAGAGCCTTGAGGTTGAAGCTCAACCGCCAGAAGAGCAAACAGAAATTCTTCGGACCCTGGAAGGACAGGACAACGGCATTGGAAGGTCTTAAGCTCTGCACGGAGCACCAAGATATTGGGGGATTTGTCCCAGAGCCAGGACAATGAGACCATGAATTGGACTAATAGGGGATCGTCAAGGTGAAAGCATAGCTAGGTCTGTGGAAAATGCGTCACAGGGAAAGTGACAGTGTTTAAAGCAGACATCCTGCCGGCTTTGGTTTACCTGGCGGTGGTGTACCTGCTGCCTGCCAGACAAACACTGCAAGGAATGATCTTCAAGTTTGTCTGAGGCGGCAGGTGTGAGTACATCACAAGAAACTGGATGTGCCAGCCAGTCAAGGAAGAAGGAAGAGACACTTTCCCCTAAAACGTGACTGACCTCTGGATCTAAGACTGCAATCCAGATGTTCCCAAGAATCTCACAGACAGATTGGCACCAGGAACGATCATTGATCATGATAGTTAGGCTGCATCCCCACTCTAGGAGCTGTTCAGAAAGCCCAACATTCTTAAATCAGGGCACACATTAATTAGGCAGTGCTGGTTCGGCTGGAGGTCTGGGAGAAAGAGGGAGAGATTCCTGTTGTGACGCGCTCGCAGTGAGCTCAGAGTTTGTTCACATGGAAAGTGACTGCGGGTCCAAGCAAGTCACACTCTTTAGATGGGAAGAAGACTAGTCCTCAATCCTGAGATTCAGCTGTCCACAGTTCCTATTGTAGTTCACTAGTTGATCAGGTGAGCGTTCGCGGTGGGTTCATGAGGCTTGCTGCTGGGCTAACCTCGGGCGGATCCTTTACGTGTGGTGACCTCCATTCTCAACTCTTAGAACAAAGTAAATTCCTGGCACTCGGACACACTGGCCGTTACATGATTGTCCAAGATGAGTCTGAGAATGTCCTGGAGGAGCACCTTCTGGGTTTTGTACTGCCTGTTTTATCTGGAGGAACTAAGGTCATTCATTGGTTGAATGTTCTGAGGACATTCAAGACCCACGTGGGGTTACCCTGCCCTACCAGTTCCTGATTGGCTGATCGAGGTGGAGGATGAGTAACTATGCTCTCTGACGTTAGGGTTGTAAACAACCTGGGATGAGACTCTCCCAAGGAATCTCCCAGACAGTAAGGCGCCAGAGATGACCATTTAATAGAGTGGCTGGTGAGTCGCCTTGGGAGCTGTTCCTTATCAGGACACTTTATCAGCTTAAATGTGAACCAAATGGAATGGCCTCTATGTATCCAGCACCACTGAGATGAGGGAGAGGGGGACTGGCAAGGGAGCAGCAAATTTAATTCCTGTATTTTTAATAACCCTTGCCACTACTTATATATGTCTATTTATATCCTGTGATTTTATTGTCAAGTAGTAATCCAATCAATTCTATTTTTGAAAGCGGAACTCAGAAGTTACAGTTAAAAGATAAGGGTTAGTTTCTAAAAGCTGTACTGGATCTATTAGAATGACAAACTGATGAAGTAGCAGCTTGGAAATACAGAAAATATTGATGTTATGACTTCAATTTGACAATTACAAATTAATGTTTTTATCTTTTTAAATTCTGTTGTGTTTCAGACATTCTCATGAAAGGTAATTCTGTATAGATTAAAGTACTTGATAAGTATTTTTACACTAACTCTGACAGAACAAAAGATCACCTTGGTTGCCAATTAATACATCTTGAACAACAGTCCACACTAAATCAGTACGGAATTTATAAATGTGGTGTTTATTCATATCAGTCACAAACAACATCACTGCCACCTTGTAACCTGGTCTCATAAGATCTCAGTTGAACACAGCTGGGCCGGATGAGAACCACAGTGGGGGACCTCCAAGGAAAACCAGGTTCCTGCTGTCAGTGGACCTGCTGAACCAGAATTTACAAACAATCCCAGCATGCTGCTGGAGTGCTGAGAGACTAAGACTTTATTATCCCTGAGGAAGCAGTTTGTTTTACAGCAGCTTTATACAGACGGACAGAAAAAAACATGACAAGAACAACAATATACATACATATTTGTATACAGTAGAAGTCAAGTGTTAAGTGATGATATGGCTACAGGTATGAATGAGAACTTAAATCTGTTGCTTTTGGAGGTGGGGAGTTGGTATTTGCATTCTGATGGGAGTAACTGGAAATTATGAAACAAGGGGTGTGAAGGATCGTCACAGATGGATATTGCTTTACGCAGAACATGCGAATGATAGATGGAGGAGAGGGCTGGACGATTAACACCAATGACCTTCTGACATATTTTCACAAGGCTGCCCAGTTTGTTTTTGCTCCTCAGATTCAGGCTACCAAACCAGCAGATCAGGGTGAAAGTTAGAACAGATTAAAGGAAGGACCAATAGAACAAAATCAACAACCTTAAATGCTTAAGCTTCCTTAAGAAAAAAAAGATGCTGCTGTCCTTTGATTTTTTTTACTCAAGGAGCTGTTTAAGTCTGGAACAAGGCTCCCAGCCATTTTGGTACAATACTCTGGCTTCTTTCAAGTAACAGCCACATGAGATTCTCAGATCAATGAGATAGTAGTAACTAAACAACCTTGATGTGCCCAATGGCTTCCTCTTGTTTCCCTTTCTTTGTTTCTTAAATCTTCACAGGCGGTGAACCACACAATTTGCAAAACACATTGAATGGAGTGTCAAGAAAAGTCCAGAAATATAAGTGTAAGGAATTCTTCTTCTTCTTCTTCTTCTTCTTCTTCCTCTTTTTCTTCTTCTTCTTCTTTAGTGAATTTTCCATGTCCTTTCCAGAAAAATTTGACATCGATCCCTTTGACACAGATCTGAAAAGTCAAGAGCCAGAGTAAGAAACTGGTGATTTTAAGATCATTAAAGAATAGCAACGAACACAAAGTGAAATTCAATGTTAACTTTATAGCCTACCAACCTTTGGGTTTTTGGTGTGCATGAAATAACAGATACAAAGAAGAGAAAAAAATCTTCAATAGCATACATGTATCCAATACAAAATACAATACAACATTCCAGTGATAAGAGATCCAACAATTTACTAAACAATAATTGTATAACGATGTTGGGTTAATAGCATCCTGCCACGTTGTTACTGCCGACACATGTCTTTAGGGAACATTTCTGCAATATATTTCATAATTAAAATGAAGTTGTCCAGGTTTATGTTGCAGTTGTACTATAGAATGTATTACTGATATGACTGATTTCCTAATCAACCCAACAGTTTTCAGTTCATCTGTTGCAGTCACTGGCTGAACAGTGACTGATCCACACAGTGAGTCTTAAAGTGTTTGGAGCAGTGAGGCACAGGTATGCAAAGCATCTTCCTGTAAGCAAATCCTGTCACAGACAGTTAGAAAAAGTCCGAGCTGGGAATCAGGTGCAATTCTACAGTTTGGCTACTTTTTGCTATTTGCTTTAATTTGTGCTGCTTTGAAAGAAGTGTCAAATTTTGTATTGTATACATTGTACACAACAGTTTGCTAACATTGCTTTTATATTAGCCAGTATCACTAGTAGCCATAAAAGCACTCTTACCATTAGATATTTCAGTTTCTAAATTTTCCTGTAATTTCAAATAATCAAATCATTACAATAAACAGACAAAGAAGCATTGAATACAGAAAAATCATGCAGAGTGGGTAACAATTTTAATTTAGATGTTAAAACTATCACACTGTTTTAGTAATATGTCATATGTCAAGGAAATATGATGTTTCTTTTGGAAGTGAGTATGTGATAGTCTGATGTGATGGTGTTGTGTGTGTATAGAGACACAGGTAACTGAAGGAATGGCATCTTCAATTAAAATCACCATGACTCAAAGAATGTGTTGCATAAGTCCAGAAGATATAGATGAAGTGTCAACATAGTCGTTTTTTCATGAATGGGTCTCTAGCTCAGTGTTTCCCATTTTTTTTGTAAAGTTTATTAAACCATTTCATCCAACATGGAAGGACAATATCTATCCACGACACCTTATGAGTATACCCCCAGTATGCAGCAGATCAGATGAGTAATATAAGAATGAAAAGGTCACATCCCTACTCTCTTCAACGGTGTCATGGGGTTCTTAAGAACCCCACTCAAGTCATGATCTCAGGTTAAAATTTAGAATTTGGTTTAATGTGTCATCTGAAGGATATCAGCTCCTACAGCACTACATTCCTGTATGTTTGCTTGTAAATAATTCTGGTTCAGCAATACCACTCACAGCAGGAACCTGGTTTGTCTTGTCTTGGAGGTCTCCCACTACTATACTGATCTGACCCAGCTGTGTTCAGCTTCTGATATCTGATGAGACCAAGCTTCAAGGTGGTAATGTATTTGTAAATTATGATCAAATGCAACATGTATAATGTTCTTATATATTTATTGTGTACTGTTGTTCAAGATATGCCAAGTTAACCTGGTCAGACAATAATAGATTGATTTTTGTTTTAATGCTTCATTGACCAAAGAGCCCCAGTGTCCCCAGCAGTAGAATCAGCGACATCATTGTCCTGTGTGTGTCAGTATCTCTGAAAGGGTTGAACATTGACTGATCCACACTGTGAGTCTTAACTAAGCACAACAGTGAGCGAACACATATTAGTAACTGTACCATGCTGTTAGAATAGAACAAGATCCCAAACTTCTAGAAAACACGATATCTTCAAGAAAACATGAGTTAAATTTGGGCACAAGGTTTGTTATCTATAGTAACTCCTGGAATACTCCTGTGATAAAGATTAAAAAACATTAATTTATCATTCAGAATGATGCAGGACCAACAGATTCCAGCAGACATGTCTTCAGTGTTTCCAGCACTGACTGGCTACGAGTGCTGCTGAAGCCAGGAAAACAATTTGCATAGAAGAGACACTTTGCTTTGGCAGCAAATGCTTCAGTGCTCTGGGAGTGCTTATAGCACTGTGAGTTTAACACTTCATGACTGAGAGCTGCCCTTCATGGCAACAGAACCCACAGCAACAATGACCTTCATCACCATCTTCATCTGGACACTTGTCTGCTTTCATGGTGAGTAGAAATTAAATTAATGCAATGAAACAACGCAGGGAGAT